GGAGCACGGTATAGGAGCACGGTATAGGAGCACGGTATAGGAGCACGGTATAGGAGCACGGCAAGCACGGCAAGCACGGTATGAGCATAGTATGAGTGCCGCGCACGGTATGGGCGGGGAGCACGGTATGAGGTTGCAGCCTATACCGTGCTCATGCCGTGCTCATGCCGTGCGCGGCACCCATACCGTGCACCCCGCCGCCCATACCGTGCTCCTCGCCCATACCGTGCGCGGCACTCTCATACCGTGCTCACCAGCTGCATCATACCGTGCACCATACGGTGCCCGCTATTATACGGAGGAAACCAATAACCCTTGGCCAAATGATTTGTGACGATACCTGAGAAGGCTCGAGAAGGATAGCTTGAGCTATTGAAAACTAGTATATGGTTAGCTGATCTGCTCAAACCGGATCAAAAACTAACAACCCACGTTTTTACACCCTCTTCGTCGCCGACCAGAACTGCGTAACTGCTCGTCCCATCTCATCAGCCACTGTCTCAGTCCTCGCAGGGAAACGGCAGGCACGTACCATAAGTGAACTTCAGCAACGTTTCCGGCTGCTCGGCATACAGACTGTCGATGCTCTTCCTTGACGTCTGGTCCACATCAAACCCGAGCACATCTGCCAGCTGGAGCACTTCCTCGGCAGAGAGCTGGAGAGCGGAATGGGTGCCCCACTTCAGCGCTGTGATACACGTCAGTCCGAGGCCGGCCGGCGAAGAGATGTCAACAAAAATATAAAGGTCAATCTTCGAGGAGGAGTGGACGTACGTCCGAGGTTGATCCACACTCCACCAGGCTTCAGCAGCCGGTGTATGTTGCTCAGAAAGTCAATCACGTTGTCGGACATGTCGATGAAGAACAATGTGACGACAGCGTCGAACTCGGCGTCCTCGGGGAACATGTTCAGGAAGTCGCCCTCGACGAGCTTCACAGACTTGTTTGGCCAGTGGTCCGGCACCGTTAGGGCAGTGTAGCGCGACGACGGATTGGCCTGATGTGTCCATTTGGTTGCGAAAGGCTGCAGTGTGTGTTGGTGCAGCGAGTGAGTGTGGTTCGTTAACAGGTGGTAGGCCAGGATGGAACCGTAGTCCAGCTCGTTGGCCGTGACGTCGTATCCTTGTGCGGATGTGAGCCCGAGCCTTCTTCACTCCATGAAGTAAAGGAGACATACCGAGATCAGCAATATCGCTTGCCAGCCTGCCCATACCGCTTCCAGGTACAAGCACCTTCTTCCCTCTCCCCTTCCCGCCAAAATGTCGCTCGAGCCCATCCAGAACACGCGGAAACACGGCCTGCCTCTCCTTTGCGCCCTGCGTGCTCCAGTCTCGCGAAAGGTGTCCAAACGCTAGGTCCACAAGCCCGAAATCGGCGTCTTCTTCATCCTCCAGCGCCCCTGGGCCCGTGTGGTAGTGCGCCCGAGCAATCTGCGCAATCTGCTCCACGAACCGGGCGTTCAGCTCGACTGCTTTCCTGGATTTCTCGAAGTGCGTTGAATACCCGATCTTGTTGCTTATCGCCTTCTGCGCGGGCGTCTGCTTGGCATACCGCGCATGCTTCCGCTGGAGCACTTTCTCGGCGAGGAAAGCGTACTGTTCAAAGGAGTTGATGGAGTGCGCCAACGCATCGGGAAAGGAGGGGTATCTCTTCCTTCTCCTGCCTGTGGCTTCCGTGGAGATTGGCGCTGGAGCGGGGGCAAGCGGGGAGGTGAGTGCAAAGTGGACGGCTTCAGCACGCCGGGAGAGGGAGGAAAAGAGAAGTGCGGTGTCGGACAACGAATCGGTACCGCGGATGGCGAGATAGGAGGGGAAGACAAGGCAGAGGAAGAGAGTGAGGAAGCGGCTGAGGTAGATGGAGATGCCCATCGTTGTTCTTGGGCTCAAGATGGACTTCAGTGAAAATGATGGCCTCTTGCTCCTAGTGGCACAAGGAGAGGAGGAATAGGCACCGCCAGCGGATGGGATGCTCTCTCGGAGCCCAGGCACTGTGACATAGGAAGCATGGGTGCCTCAGTGGTAGTAGCCGATGACAAGAATGCTGGACAGGGGTAAGCTGACTGCAGTATTTAGGTTTGCGGTTATACTGCGACCCTTCCAACCTCATCATCTCTTCGTGCCCGCTCCCCGTCCTCTTTCTGGCCGCTGGATAATGGCCACGGGCCCCTCAATTCTGTTCCTCTGCCTAGTCGCCCTCCTCGGCAGCGCCCACCTTTCCTTTGCCGAAGCACCAGCGCAAAAGTGTAGCAAGCTACTGGCACGCAAAGAATGGCGGACCTTGACGCATAACGAGAAAGCGGACTGGGTGGCAGCTGTCAAGGTGCGTTCTGATTCCTTGCTTTCTCCAGATTGTGCGTACATTCCAAGGTTGCTGATAGCGACTAGTGCCTCGCAAGCATACGACACGAACGGCTATCCTTGACGAAGGATCAGACGGTGCTTGAAGGGAAGAGGAGCCTGTATGATGACTTCTCTTACTCGCACGCTTTGGTGGAGCACAGCGCCCATAGGAATGCCTACTGTGGTATCCGGCCGAAGTAGTGTACCTGGTCCGCGCACGACAGGGGGTGCTCAGCCATGTAATAAAATGATACGAAGCTGAATTTGTCCAAAGTTACATACAGATTCTAATACTTTGTGTGACCTCCTTCTGCATCAATCACAGCCTGGCATCGAGCTGGCATACTATCAATGAGCTCCCGAAGCACCTCAACAGAGATAGATTCCCAGGCCTCCTGTACAACATCCTGTAGCTGATCGTAGGTAAGCTGCCTCCCCCCTTCTTCCTCTGGGTAATAGGCCTCAATATAGTCCTTCATCTTGTTCCATACTGCCTCGATTGGATTAAGGTCTGGCGAGTAGGCTGGCTAGAATATAGGATGAATACCCCTAGATGCAAGCTCCTCTAGAGTGTACGCAGCTGAGTGTCCTGGTGCCCCATCCTGCATAAACCATAGATGGGGGTTAAGGCGTAGCCAGCCATGAATGAGAGGGATAATCCTATCACAATAGCTCTCCTTGTTGATAGACTTCCACTCCTTCTCCCAAAAGAGATGAGGACCTTTTGTAATACCTGAAAAGCAGGCCCAAAACATCCAGCCACGTCTCTTACGTATCTTGTCAACAAGGCAGGTATCCTCAAGCTCTTCCCTAGGCTTCCTTGTAACCCAGATCTTCCTGTGCCATCCACCAGTTATCCAGGTTTCGTCACTCCACAGGATCCTCCACCACTCCCACAGCTGCCAGTTGACATGATGTCAGATGGTAA